TGACAGGCTTCTCCTCAGTGAATTGGTACAACCCACTTTTAAAGTCATTTAAGTTGACCATTACCACATGCTGTGGCAGCAGATTTCATTAAATGATGCACTGCATGAAGAACTATATCTTTTATTTTCATTTTATTTTCAGTCCTCCACCAGATAGCTGCTCAGGGGACAGTTTCATCTCTTCCTGCTTTCTGTGTTCTGAGAACGAGCCCTGGCATAGTTCAGGGGGACAGAGCTGTCAGGTTCCTATAACCATAGATGGAATCTGATGTGATCTCTGTGTTATGAGGTCCCAAGGCTTCCTGCCTTGATCTTTGGTAAATTGTATGGTTTGAGGAGGTGGAGAGCTAGGAGACACCAGAGTTATATTTTCCCACACATTGCCTTAATATGTGGAAATTACAAATATAATAAACAGAGAATGACCATTTCTCAACTGTTTCACTCACCTGGAAATCAGTTGTTTGGTTTTAGGCTGTGTCTTGGTGAATGAGCTAAAACTCTTTTGTAGGAAATGGAATCAGAACACCTGCCATGTTTCCCTTTCTTTTTGCCAGGAAGCCCAGCTCTTAGGTACTTTTGGAATTTTGGAAAATTCATTTTAAAAAATCTGCCTCCTTTGCCACTTACTGCGGTGTGTGTGTGATGGGTCACCATTTTATTGGACAGCAATTGAATACATATGGTGCTTTTACAGAATGGAAGAATTGTACCTCAAGTAGCTCATTATATGGATGAACTGTAGTTTAATTAGCTCATTATACTCAAGAGGTACAGTGTTGAATACTTGTCCAAAGAAAGACCAGTGATTGAAGCAGGCTTCTAAAAAAATATTAACTAGCAGTGTGCTGTTGTATGCAATTCTATTTTTAAATCTGAAATGCTACAATGTTTCATATTTACATTTTAAAAATAAGAAAAGTCTTGCAAAACCCCAGATGCTTTATTCAAAAAGCAAACACAAAGGTTTATTATGCATCCCATGCTATTTTTGGTATGTGTGTGAAGGGGAAAGCAGAGATTAACAGTTCAGCCCTGTGAATGTCTAATCAGAAGTAGCAGCACAATCCTAACCATGTCTACTCTGAGATAAATCCTATTGAATTCAGTGGGGATTAATCCCAGGTAAATGGGGCTAGGATTAGAGTCTAGCTACTACTGAGTTAAACGGGACTTGTTGCCAAATAAATATGCTTATAAATCAGCAAAATGATTCAGTGAAACTAAGCTGCAAGGACAATTTCATTCATCTCTCCCTTCTATTAATGGGTCAGTTTTGTGCATTTTTGGTTAAATCACTGTTTTTTACAGCCCTAGCAAAAATATGTTTGCTTGGACAATTTGTTATTTGGCATTTGTGCATGTTTTGCAAAAATGTATTTTGCGTGTTCAGACCCAGAGATCTCCCCCCTAAATAAAGTCACACTTGACTAAAATTTTAGTTTTGGTTTTTGGCAGAATTTAGGCCACAACTTTATTGATTACAGAAGGTGAGTGGTTGCATAGGCTCTGGTTCGACTAGCTCCCTGCACCTGCTGACCCAGGGCACCAGCATAGGTCAGCCAAGGGTGAACACCTGGGTAGGTGAAAAGCCGGGAACAGACTATGTTCACCACCCAGATGCCCCCCTGGACTCAGGCACGGGCACAACCCACTCTTGGTGGTTGATCAAACCAGTTGAGTCCCTGGATTCCTTTAACCAAATACCTTCACATAGGGATGGTGAGACCGCTCTCCCATCCCTATCACCTGAACAAGTTGTGACGATTTGCTACGCGGCAGGCAAAACCCAAATGGCAACAGCCAATCAGCCAAGTGGGGAAATTCCTGCCGTGCCCCTGTCCCAACGTCAGACGACACATGACGGCATAGCAAGGTCAATCTCACAATGCCCTAAAAATAGGGAGAGGTGGGCGGGTGTTCTGAATGCACGAGCTGAAAGAGGAAGCTCTGGGTCACATGCATGGGTATATATAGGTCTCTCGATCCGTTTGGACTGTGCCCCATTGGCCAGATTGAACCCAACATTGAGGGACCTACCAATCGGGTGTTGTGGCTAACCAATCCAACCCACCCACAACACAGGAGGTCAGTCTCCAGGTCTCACTGCAACATGTGCCCTCTTTTCAGGAGGACACAATTTGCAATTTTTTTTTTAAAGGTGAGAAACAACCAAGGCACGGATAAGGAATTTTGAGGCAGATGCAGAGAAGAGAGAGTACCTCTTAGAGATTCTGAAGAGAAGCAGTTCTCTACTGGTGCTAAAGAAAAGCAGAGAGACTCAGATGCTCTCCCAGCCAGGGCCTACTTTAAAGTGCTGGTTTTAACCTTTAAAGCCTGAAACTACATGAAAAATTGCCTATCTGCCGGATCCTCACTGGACCACTGCTGAGTGCACCTGCCAAATGAATTGAGACAGGCAGGAGAGGGCCTTTTGGCTAGTTATTGAACAGCAGCCTTATAGTGGCTTGCATGGCACCATCTTTATGGTATTCTCAACCTCAGCTCAAGATCCTTTTCTTCACCCAGAGCTTTCTAACAACTTAGTGTTTTAAATCTGGACTTCACACATATCTGTTCAAAATATCAGGCTTTGGTGCTGCTTTTATTGTTTTGTATCTTATTTTTAATATTGTGTTTTATTCTGTTGGGTGGCCATACAATAACAGTGAATAAAAAATAAAGATTTCTATCCCTTCCCAATAGGTGAACTGTGCTGTAGCAGCTGATTATACCAAGCTTCAACTGGGTACGAAGGCTCCCTTCAGGACCAGAATATATGCATACCTTACCCAGAATTTGGCACTACAAAATAATAGAGTTGCAAAAATGTTACTGTTTGGAGTCAGTAGATGTGAGCGTCTCTGTTGAGGTGCCAAAACTGATCTATTTGAATGCACCAGCTAATGAAAATGTTACTGTAAAAGGCTGAGTATTGATTGCGACTGTTTGATATGCCTGACAGAGAAATGATAGCAAGACTGTCTCTACTCCACCTGTAGTATAATCCCATGGTATCAATTTGTTTCCCTAAATTGTCAATTTTTGCAATACTTTGAAGTTCTTTTAAAGTAATTCCTTTGAGTCATCCTACCAGCAGAGGTGTATGTAAATGAAGCAAGCAGTGTACTAGATGAATCTGGAATCTAATGAGTGGAGCATGGGTCGTTAGATGAGTTCGTGCTTCAGGTTATGTTTGTCAGACCGGCTTCCTGCCACAGCTAGCAGGAGACAGAGATAAGGGTGATCTATGTGGAAAACACAGAGCAGGCTCTTTTTGTTACTTTAAGCTAATCTGACCAGGAAGCTTTCATACCTCCAGGACCTGCGGTGAATAGCAGTTATGATATTTCCCTTCCCTAGAATGCCACAGAGAGATGGATTGGGAGGTCTTAGGGTCCCTAATATAGATGTGCTTCTTCTAGATGGTTGTTCAAGGCTTGACATCCCTCACATTCAGAACTTGCTGTAGGCCAGGGTGGCAGTTGTACAACCTTAAGATCCAGCCCAGAACCCAGTTTAATTTGAAATTTGGGTTCAAGCTTTGGGTTTAGTCCCTTTGACAGAACACTGACATGGGAAAAGACTGGTTGAAGATCATAGGCATTGACCTTTTCACCCAGAACCTGGTTTTCAACAAACTTCAAAGGCAAACCCTAACTGCACATGACTTCCTTTCCATGGGCTATATCATAGACGGCTTAGAGGACAAAGCTAGAACTTTTCCAACAGTCATTCATTATTTCATCTGGTATTTTCCATCCCACTGCAATGGGTTTATTTGCACTAGTCTTTTTTTCATTTCATCATCTGCTGATGTTGAAATATACATATTTTCTTATTCAGCCACCAACAGACATTTACAGATCAATTATCTTCTCTTTATGTTCGCCTTCAAAGTTAATGAATTTCCAGAGGGGTAGCCCTGTTAGACTTTTGCAGCAAAAATGGCAAATAATCTTGTGGCATCTTAATGACAAAGTTAATGACGTGACTAATGTCCCATTATCACAAAGTCCTCTATGACTGCAGTTCGAACTGTTTCTACTCAGAAGTAAGCCTTAGCAGGACTAAGTCCCAGGTAAGTGGGGTTATGATTGCAGATTGATTTCAGTAGAAATTTGTCACCCTTCATTCAGGCATCAAGGAGGAACAGTTTGGCACCCTGTTGACATTTTGCTCTTTGTGTCCTGGGTGGCAGGAACTACCTCTTAACTCAGTGTAATGCCACTTAAGCACATAAAAGTCATGGCAACATTTTCTTTCATAAACATTTATTTTATTCAGAAAGTGGTCGTCTGTGTGTGTTTGCTCAAGCTAATTTATGTTTAAATGTTTGTAGTAAACATGATTTAGTGTTTGACAGTTTTCAGTTCTGTTTTGTGCGCGCCAATGTATTCTTTTTGTGTGAAAAAGAACAATGTGTTCTATTCTAGAAAAGAACAACATAAGTTAACAAAATTTCAGGGTACGGTGGTGGTGGGAGGAAAGCAATGGGGATTTGGCTGGGAGTGGGGCAACAATGCGTTCCATTGGTTTTCAGGATTCACAGTGGATTAAGGGTGCAATCCTAACCCCAGTTACCAAAGTGTAAGGCCCAATGAATTCACTGGAACTTACTTCTAAGTAGACATGGTTGGGATTGCAGCTTTAGTGCATATAGACTGCCTCTAGCAATGAAGAGCTTACCCAAAGTCAACAAACACTTCATTAAAAAAGCAACGAAGTACCTGTTGGGACAGAACAATGACCGCTCCCCGCTTAAAACGGGGGGCGCCCTTTGCGTGGGCGCGCGCAGCCCTAGATCTGGAGCGGCCCCATCAGCATAGGCTTGGCTTTGCCTTCCCTCAGGTGGGATACCTGGAGGTCCCCGCCTACCTCAGTCAGTTGTCCAATCCCACCTGGGGGAAGCGTTGCCAAGGAGACCAGGCCAGGTAGGGGGAGGGATTACCTGCCCACACAATAGAGGGAGGATCTTACCTGGGAATCCTCACTTGGCTCCAGAGCTTCTCCGGGAAGGACGTCGCTGGACTTCCTCGCTCCAAAAGGTAAGCCTGGGGCCTTTGCCCCCCCCCCCCCCGCGACAGGGTTCCCAAGGGATAGTAATGGATTTCAGGATACCCTTTTAAAAGGGGATCCTTTACCCTAGGCAGGCCCTGATGCCCTGGGGTGTTGGGTGGTGGCATGGGGGCCCCTCTGGCTGCCCCCCATGCCTGCGGGGGCGTGTGGGCCGCGGGGGGGAGGCAACGCCACACGCGACCCTTCCCTTCCCCCGCCAGGCCTGGCGGCCCTGGGGTGCGGCGGGTGGTGGCGGGGGGGTCCCCAGTCACCCCCCAGGGCCTCGGAGGCCTCCAAGTGGCTTTTTTAGGCCGCAGGGAGGCCCGCCGCGTTTTGGGAGGCCTTATTAAAAAAGCAACGAAGTACCTGTTGGGACAGAACAATTAGACCTGTGAGTTTTATTCATGAGCTGCTCTGCACCCAGTCTCTTTAGGGGATTTGATAATATTTATTGTTATTATGAACTGCCTTCATCCTAAGTCTCCATGGTAGGTTTAGTAAATGGTGCTGAAAAGCAACACAGTGGCTTATATTACAGACTATAGGAGAAACACCAAACCCAGACTCCATCTCCCTTGGGTCTATTCCTAGCTTCTAAATTAGCGAACACACAAAACAATCTATAAAGCTTTTGAGCCAATGTCCCTGTGTGTTCATTTGTTGCCAAATATAGACAGGCTTGCAAAGATTAGACATGACTGGCTAAACATAGATCAAACAAACATTTCCTCTCCTTTTCTCTACTCTACATCTATATAACATGAATGCATTGTCTAGTAACCTGAAGACCTAGTAACCTGACTACCCGCTCCCCTTTTTGGTGATAATAATTGGATGTGTTTGAAGGAAAGAGCTATTGTTGATTTTGCTTCTGTACTCTGTTTTAAATAAACTCCAACTTTCCTATTTGGAAATCAGGAAAAGCCATCCAGCACTTGCTCACATTTGCTTTGTTAGTAATAAGGGGAAGGGTTGTAGCTCAGTAACAGAGTGCCTGGTCCTAAATTCAGTCTGCAGCATCTCCAGGTAGGGCTGTAAATGTCTAAAACCCCATGAGCTGCTGCCGTTCAGTGTAGACAATGAAGCTCTAGATGGGCCAGTAGTCTGACTCAGTATAAGGCAGCTTCCTATGTTGCTAAGAGAGAGGCATGAATGTATGCACTGAATCCAAATAGGACATGCAGGAGGACTATGAGAATAAACAGCACAACAGCTTTGCTTTTTTGATGCTTGCTCAACCGAAGCGTTGTGTTTTCCCTTGCCAAGGTACAGCAATCTGCATATTTCTAATTCTGAATTGCTGGCCTTTGTTTCTTTACCTGCCTTGTTTCCTAATGGCCGATTCCTGTAGAGAGCTACTTTAATAATGACTGGGAAGGTTACTGTATGGTGTGTCATTTGTTTGAGTGTTTGCACTGTCTGTATTTAAGATGCTGAATACATTTGCCATTGTTTTTGCTTCTGCTTTCCAACTAGCATGACATACCTAGGTTTGATGAAGACAATTCATTCTCCTGCCAGAATGCTGCAGCAAGCTTGAGATTTCCAGGATGTTGGAGCAGGAGATAAGAAGGCTAAAACAACAGAACAACAGCACAATAGCAGAGAAGAATTGCTGGTCAAGCGAAATAAATCAATAAAGCCACAAATTCCAAAGGGGTGCCTGTGTTTGTCTGTTGTAGCAAAAACAAAAAAGTTTACAAAGCCAACACATTGATTAGAAGCCATTTTGTAGAAGCCATTTTGGCATATAAGTAGTATACCAATTCATACACAGAAATTTAAAAGTAATAATTCTGGTATAAGCCAGGGATGTTATTAGACTACAAGTTCCACCATTCCTGACTTCACAACATGCCTGTTATGACAGAAAGCTGACTAAATTCCCTACCATGACATTTTTGATTGGCTGTATGGAGTAGTTGGGAAAGGCCAATTGGAGACCACCCGAAAAATTCCTACTCAGCTGCTAATGGCAGCTGGCTATTCCCATTCTGCAAAAGGGGTGGCATGCCAAGCTAGGTAAAGGGGATGTGGTATGGATGGCTTATAAAGCTGACCCCATACCAAGAGACTTGTGATGTCTTTCCTGGATGGGATGGAGGCAGACATGTCTCACAGCAAGGATGCAGGGGCTGGGATTCTTGGGAAAATGCATCCCTAGCTATTTTAATATGCACTGCCTGCTGCTTTCTAAGTCTTTTGATGCTTACAGGTTTGTTATCATTTAAATGTATGACTGCTGGGCTTCTTCCAGATACATTCATGCCCATTTGTTTGCATGGAGGTGATACGATGACAGCTGTTTTGTTCATGGGAAGATTATATGATGTCACAGCACCCAGTGCTTCAACCCATCACTTTCCTTTTCTCAAAAAGTCAGGTATCTTTTAGGGAAGCAGCTTGTTGCTCAAGAGCACCAAAACCAGTTTAGTTGTACAACCTGGATTTCCTGGCATGAATCCCACCTGCAAAATAGCACCAAGGCCACCTTATTTGGGTTGGATATGATGAGTGCAGTGTCACATGCAAACATGCTGATGAGCGGAGCCTTTCTGGTTGACGTTAACCTCTTGACTGTCAGCACAATGTCTAATTCCAAGTATGTCTGCTAGGGGCTCCAGAGAGAGTGCACACAAAAGCGGAGACAAGAGGCTGTCTTCTTTCATTCCCCTGTGTGACAAAAGACGTTCATGGTATTCATTTTGATCACTGCTGCAGGTCTCTAATATAGATGTGCTTCTTCTCATACAGCTTTACTTCCACCCTCTTCCTTTTGTTTAGCATTGCCACTAAGAAATGCCATTCCAGGAGATCACTTTGTGGGCATCTCAAGATAAAAACTAGCATATCCCCCCCTTTTCTGCATTACTGGCATTCAGGACATTTGTCTAAGAGGATTCACAATCTTTCTATCTGGTATAAAGTTGTTTTGTTCAGCTTGCACATAGTGTGAGATAAAATGACTTGCTCTCAGGGGTTGCCAACGTAATGTCCTCTAGATGCTGTTGAACTACAATGCCCATCATCCCTGGCCTTTGGTCATGCTAGCTTGGACTGATGGGTGGTGTAGTCCAACAACATCTAGTGATCACCATGTTGGCTACCCTTGGTGTAGTTGCAAGGGTGCCATGAAACTGGCTGAACAGCTATATAGGCCTGTACACCCACATGTATTTTGGATCTTGCCCAGCTTTCGGCACTATCATCAGCCTTGAGTTTCTGGGTTTCACCCATTTTCCAGCATAAGCCATATGTGAGACTAATACACATATATTTTTTAAAAGAGCCGCTGGTGATTTGTGATTTTTTTTAAGTTTGGAAAGAATTCATTCACTTCCTTGGTTATTTTTTACACAAGAAAGTGCAGTGCTTAGGTTTTAAAGGCTGTACCCATGCCGACTTCCGGGTTGGCGCCTCTGACAATGGCGGATTTCCTCCGATCGGGAGGAATCCGCTCCGTGGAAAACAGGGTCTGAACCGCCACGGCGAGGCGGAGACCCATCAAAAACCACAGGCAGGAGAAGCCTGTGGACGTGGGATTCGGCTGGCACCTTTGCGACGTGGGGTGAGTGGCGCGGTGCCTTGAATCAACTGCTTCTTTCACGGAGTGAAGCCGCATTGCTGTTGCCGGAGAGCGCTGACTTTTTCCTGTGGACAATTGGAGCTTAAATAACTGTCCGTGAGCAGAACGGAAAATTGGAATAAGAAATTTCTTTTAATTTGGCACTGAAGCGGGAAGGTCTAAACAGGAAGTCTGCCTTCCATTTTTTGTAAATAGATTGAAGCAAAGACACGGCAAGCTAGAGCTTAGAAAATCGTTTGTAAAGGATCAATGTTCATCATTTAAAATTACTGAATCCCCCTTGGAAGTAGGAGAAGAGGGGGGAATTTTTTCTGGACTGATTAAACTTGTAGAAGACAAGTTAAGAAAAGCAATTCTCCACCGTCCTGAACCTGGGAGCGGGGTGTCAGGACAGACGTCTTCGGGAAGTTCATTGACTATAGACAAACGTTTTTGACAGATAGTTAAAAGAAGAGAAACATATTGATTCCATTGTTCCCCTTCGCATCTAAAAGGAACAAAATATTGACAAAATATCTGAAAAAGGAAACTTTGTTGTTAGATTTGCTTTTTTTTAAAAAAAGAGATGGATACAAATAGAAGCTTTTTCCCCTAGAGGGAGCTTGTGAAACTGTTATTAAATCCGAACTGGGGAGCTTTGCAGCTGCAATAGATTAAGATCGTGGGACCAGACTTTGACCTTCAACAAGAATGTACTCGGAGGCTCTGGTGTTGGCCTTTTGAAAGACAAGTGCTTTATTGGAACAGTTACATGAGAAGATGGATTTGATGACTGTTGGGATCGGAAAGTTTGGACAGGCAGTGGGTACTTATATAGAACCCACTCAGGAATTAATTCAGGAGTGTGCTTTGACAGATCAGATGAGGGAGGAGGTTGTTGCTGGACCTAGTGAGGCAGAGATGGAGGGAACTGTGGCCCAGCAGGAACATGAGTTGTTGGACTTGACGAATGAACCTGGAAAAAGCCAGATTTGGAGAGACAGAGTTCTGTTTGGCTTGGAGATGGGGGGCTGGATAGACCCCCCTATGCAGGGATGTTTTGACCCCTCAAGTCTGGCTTTGGGCCAGGAGGCGTTCGGAGTTGTGCGGGCCCTTAAATTTGGAGGGACTTTGAAACATGCTTTTAAATACCACATGGAGTTCAGTGTTGACTTTGGAAAAGGGGCTGATCTGTCGAGAAGGGACAAAACCATTGTCAAGCTGGAGTCTCCCTGAGTGAAAGGAGCAGAAGACAAAGTAAAGCACAGGTATAAATATGAAGAAGATCTGCGGATGGGACATGGAAGAGATCCAAGGGCCTCGGATATAAGGTTACCAGGTTGATGGACTAGATGGATGGGATAGAAAGGACTGACAAAACCCGAGACCAGGAGAAAGAGACGTTGGATGAAGATTGGAAGAAAGTTTTAAACAATCTATTTAGGAAAATCTTGTAAAAGTAAAGAGTATTAGAAAAATGTTGGAATGAAATTATTTGGCTTTAGCAGAAATGTCAAAAAGAATTATGTAAGAATGTGTCATGGTTAAGAGAATTTGGTATAAATAAGATTTAAGTTTTATGTTTTAGGGCCTTTTATGGTAAGATAAGGTTAAAATAGATTAAGGTAATTTAATGACAGAATATTATGAAAGATGGAAAGGATTTGCTGAGATAATTAACAACTAGAATACAAAAAAGGGAGGTGTGAGGAGGTCGATGAAACAAGGTAATGACAGTTAATGATTTGGGAATATTGGATTTGTTTTTAAATTTTTTGTCTATTTTTGCTTTTTGATTTTGATGTATTATGTGTTTTGTTTTTTTCTCTTTTTGACCTTGTTTTTTTATTGATTCGTATTGTTTAAATGTTACTTGTTTTTTCCTTCTTTTTTTCCCTTTGTTTCTTTGTAATCTTAAAATTCTCAATAAATATTATTTTAAAAAAAATAAAAATAAAGGCTGTACCCATGCCTTGTGTGAATAAGCTTGGCGATCCCTACCATCAGATGCATCTGAAGTACGAACTGGGTGAAGAATTCTGTATTGATGTTTTGGGCGGTGTACACTTTCTTTCCACTTGTAGAGGCTACAGACCATTTTTTTCTTTACAGTATTTTTAAAAAGGTTTTCATTTCATAGCATTGGATTAGGATGTTTATTCCCAAATGCATAGTAATTATTGGCCATGGTTATGTTAATTTTTATTTACCTGTAATTCCTGCCTCTTGCTGATAAGCTTCCTACATATTCTGTTGCTGACTGTTCTTTTGTGCTTATTTTCCAATGCAACATTTTCTTTAGTTATTAAATCCTGGACTATCACTCTTTGAGTCCTGGTGGTGCTTAATTCACTGGTGCATTGCCCTTTATAGGCATTAAAAAAAGAGATGAGTAGCTCATTGAAATCAATGGGAGATTTTTCCATTGATTTCAAGAAGCTCTTGGTAGGGCCCTTAACTAGCTGTGCCTCCATTATGGCTCAGCATGGGTGTTTAGAAAGACAGACCCTTAAAATATACCCAGCGTGCGTTACATGCCCTGATCTTTTATATTTTCCTTTAGAACATTCATTTTACCAAAACAAGTTGTGATCTCTCTGCATAAAGCTTCTGTGAAGTAGATTACAACGGTTGCTGGGGAAATTCTCTCTCCTCTTCTTTTTTTTTTAATATTCAAAAGGAGTGAACATGCCTGTCTCATTCTGGAACATTGCCGAATTGACAGTCCCTTTGGGAGCTCTATGAAGAGGCTAAGTTCATGGTAGATTTTTGTGGAACATATGATTTTCATGTTCATTAACCTATCAGAAAGGAATTGATAACTCTCGGTGCATCCCTGAAGAGCTCCCTTTTTAAGTTGGAAAAAAAAATCTAGCAAAATAGGCAAAAATACATGGATACTTCCCTAAGCCTTGCATAACTCAAAAGTGGCATATTTCAACTAATAAATGAAAGGTCCTGAGATACGAGAGTCAAAAGCAGGTTCAAAAGCTTTTAGATCAAGAGTGCTATGAAATGGCAGATCTGCCATGGGAGGTAGTTGTGGAAGCTTTCGACAGATCAGATTCCACCCAAATAAAGCTGTGGCCCTATT